CAGGAGCTGAAATGGAAGGAGAAACTCTTCCAGCCCACTGCAAAGTCACACGAGCTCTCATGCCAGCAGAACAAATGAGAGCAAGACTGTTCCTTTCAACAGCAGCCTGCAAAGATGTCAACTCAAAGCAATCACAGAGTTGCAGCCTCAGAGCATGTTGCACAATACGTTGGCTGCAGCAGCAAAGCTGATTTAAGAGTTTCCGGGCCCTGGTCCACCTCCAGCTGCTCATTCGCTTTAGTGATGTGGCTTACCACACAGATCCACAAACAGCTGTACCAGTACAAACGATGGAATAGCAAACTGCAGCATTGGGAGCAAAAAGAACCCCCCAGGGTGGAAAAGAAACTCAGCCTTCTCTGCTGATGCCAATGCATTATGCAGTTATACCCTTAAGCTTCAAGTTCCACAGAAACCTAAGCTGATCTGACTGGCAGCTGCCACGGTTCCCCCTCCATCACACTCAGTATTCCTACCCTCCTCCTGGGCTAGAGCTCAAATACCTCTCTCAAGCATCCAACAGACACGAGAGCTGGTGCAAGAGAGGACACAGAAGCATACAAAGCTTGGTGGGGGCAGGACAGGACTGCAGAAGACGCTGTGGAACCACAACCACAGTTTGTGGTTTCACGGAACAGTCTAAACAGCACTATCAGCTTACAGCTGCGTGGTGAGTCCCAAGGGGATGGATGACACCTAAGAAATAATGAAGTACAAGACACTCAGGACTTCACAGATCAGCAGAGTACAGAAGCTTGCAGTGAGGGCCACGTATCTTGTATCGAAATGAGAAGCTTGCTACACACTGATGCAGCACTTCAGGTATAAGGCTAGAAGTGGAGAGGAGCTGCTGCTTCTTAACGCACAAGCTAGACATTTAATCAATCTGGAAAAAATCTTTGCCGAGTAACTTGAATTAACACTTCCCCAATAAACTCTTCTACTGGGAATCTTTTGCAAAAAAATCCTTTCTGAAATAAACACATCAATACTTACTGTATCATGGTGCTGATTAAATCATAATACGAATTGTCCCTAGAAGATTTATTCTAGTAAAACAAATCTTTCTAAAAATGGTCAGTAGGAAGCAGTTCAAAAATTCATGTGATATTATCCTGTGAATCCTATTAGAAGATATATGGCTTCTTTATAGCAAATACAAAATATACAAGTGAAAAGTAGCCAGAGTTTGGATTTAAGTTGTGTCCGTCCCCTCCTACTTTTTTTTTTTGGCCTTCTTTTGGAAAACAATTTTTAGAAGACAGGATGAGGAATGTTCTTAGTTGTAAAAAGGAAAAAAATATTTAGACAGCTTTTAAAAATAGTAGTACAATAACATAGTTTGTTTTATATTTTACAACACAACTTATTTAGGTTTCGTGGCATGTGGTTGTATTTTGAGCTTTAGCCAATAGTACATTTCTTACAGGCCACGTCAGGAATAGGGGGTTTTATTTACATTTTAATACTGTTTTTTCAGAAACAAAACTGAAATTATTTCCTCCTTTTCTGAATTAAGATCACGTTCAAAAACATTATGTTATCATAAGCAGGTAGAAAGTATATCTACGCCTACTATACTCTAGCTCTATAAATGTCACTGCAAGGGATGAACGAGAGACCGTAACCTTAAACTCCAACTTTTAAGTAACTCTGCCTGCAGATAAATCTAAATAGAACAGGAGGTAAACCAGGTAGCAGTAATGATTAATACTGATAGGATTTTCAAAGAGGAGGTTTTTTTGAGATACAACCCAGCCTAAGCATTTGCCAATGTGGTTCTCTATCTTACCTGAGGGAATATTTTTCAAGATCTTTTTCATGCAGGGATTTAAGCAGCATGCTTAAAAATCCTGGTAAAGGACAAATCCCTACTCACCTCTGACTTGAAAGAAGTTTCATCCTCTGAATTTGACTCCTCCATTTCCACAGGCTTTTTGATCTCCTTGGCCTCACTTTCAGATTTTACCTTTTCCACTTTGGCATTCATCTTCTCCTTGGTTTGTTTCTTCTCTGGGTATGAGGAAGACGAGGTTCTGGGAGATGTCCCTAGGATATTCTTTACCCCTTTGGAGCTACTCTTTTTTTGTTTTTTGGCACTAGGCTTTGGTGACTCCACATTGGAGGGCCTCTTGCTGGAAGACTTTAACTCCGGCTGTGGCCCACCCTTTGGAGAAGTGTTCTCCAGTTTGGTCTCCTTCACGGCCAGTTTTGGTTCCTTGAAAGCAGCTTTTGGAGGTGCCTTCTCCTCCTTAGGCAGTTTGTTCTCAGTTGGTTTTCTGGAGGAGTCCTTCAAAGGCTTGTTTTGTTCTCTTTCAAGGTCTTTGGAGGAGTTTTTACTCTCAGAGTCTTTTCTTGGCCTCTCTCTGTGCTCCTTGGTTACTTTGTGTGGCTTAGACGCCTTGCTACTTTCCTTGTTTGCATCCTGAAATTCAGTAACAGAAACATGCAAGCTAGGTATGAAATTGAAGCTCTGCACAGAATACAAAACACATTCTTATAAATCACATTAAAGCATTTTTTTCATGTAGACATCCACCCACAGATGTCTAATGTACTTATTAGTACCTCTGAGGTAGACATCTAGATTTCCCTAAAGCTAATGGACAGAGATTGACAGTAGACACTTAAACATCTACATCAGGACAGGATGAAATGTTTCACAAATGCCTGTTCCTTTCCATGCTCTATAAAAGGAGGTCTACAAACATCTATAGATGTATAATTCAGATTTAATCTGCAGGGTTAACATCTGAAGCCAGATAAGAGGAAACTCACTCAAGCTGTGTTACACAAAGTTATACTTCACACCACATTTTAGGGAAAAAACCCCCAGCAACTAAAGGGATTTTTTAAGGTTAAATCACATCCATGGCAAATGCAAGTTATGATCGCAGCCTAGCCCCCAGCTCACCACTCCAACTTGACAAAAATACTGAACAACCCCACAACCATGAGAGCCAAAGTCTCTGATATCAGCAGGCATTTTATCACCTTTAATAAGAGCTTTAAGACACCAATCATTAGGACCCCACCTATCCTACGAGTCAGGTATGCATGAAGGCAAAGGAGTACTTCCCTTTGCAAATTATATGTGAACTCAAAACACTTATAGAAGTGGGTCTTGTGGGGAGACACTGGAGTACGAACTGGCCACGCTGAAATGCAAACACACATGCACCTCTGAGGACAACCTGGAGGAAGAGAAGCAGGAGACTACTGTCTCTTTAGCTACTGGCAATTTTCACCAGAGCTTGGGTCAGAGCCCTTTATTTCTCTTCTGCCTTCTCTGTTTTCTAATGCTTAACTCCTGACCAAAATTAAATCAGCCACTAACTGATATGTCATCTTTATTCTGTTTCATAACATCAACATCAGAAGACATGACCGAGGTGCGAGAAGCATTTAGAGCCCTGAACAAAATGGGTATCAGAATTGAATTACACCATGAAATGAATTGCTGTTAATATTTGTGACTGTTCAGGCTGATAAAGTGTATGTAATCTGCTTCAAAACACATTGCCTGTGGATTGTTTCTCCTGTGTAGAATTACACAGAAATAGCTTCATCACACAAGTGAAAAAAAGAAAACTTAAGCTGCTTCTGAAGCCTCAAGAACTAGATACTGCTGGATGCAAACATCAAATCTTGAAATCGCTAGTTTGACCAAGTGCAGCATATTTTATGTTCTTGACACCACCACCCTAAGTAGTCCTAATGACAGAGGAAGTGCTGACTCTCTACTCAGCCTTGCTGCTAAGAGATGCAAGGACTTAGAGTACAGCTTTACATGACAGACAGTGAAAGATCCGCGTAATTCATCCTCAGCATCAAGGATGCAAGTCAGAACAATCAGAGAGGACTTCATTCAACTTTGTCTGCTATAGCAGATCAGGAAGAAGATATGGTTCACCAAAAAATGCCAGTCTTGGGCATTTAATTTTCTTTTCAGAATTTCCCTGGAGAGAAGTCTAGCAAATCATAAAAAGGCCTCCTAAATTATTCTAAGTTCCAGACCATTAGCTAGTGAACTACAGAGTACAAGGAAGACATTTGCAGAATTAGAAGTAGCCAGAAACAGCTGCTAAACAAGCTCTTAGCAGCAAGTCCTGAAAGACTTCTTCACTTCAGGATGACACAAAAGCATGCTTCACTGACCTTTGACCCATGGGATGGTTTGGTCTTCTTGGGATCAGAGAAGGCAGAGAGTGGTATTGTGGGTAACATAGGATAATCGGGACTTGGCCTTGAAACAGTTTCTGCTCCTTCTGGCATTACCATCACCTAGTAATAAAGAGGAGAAAAATTATGTATGAGTAACGTCCCATGGACTATTAACACATGATTATGTTAAGTCACTTGCTCAATTTACACACTATTATTAATCTTTTGGATGTTTTTCCCCCTGCTTAAAGGCCATAAAAAGATATTGTCTAGGTAATGCTCAGTTTCAAGGCAACTCCTCAAATACAGAACATTAAAACCACACAAAAAAAAAAAAAGAAAGGCAACATGCAGTATCAAGTATCTTTCCCAAAGGGAACTCCAATATTCTGAGCACAAGCAGGCAATAAAGCTCTGGACAAGAACTGTGTGTTCTGCTGCAAATGCTCTTACCCCGCAAAAGCGTAGCAAGGTAAATCTGGAAGGAATGAGCAAGACGGGGGGAGAAAAGAAAAAAGCAGGCCTTGGGTCTTTCCCTTGACAAGATCTTAACACCAAGCACTGAGCTCCATGAAACACTTTCCTTCTTACCTGCTCTATATTCTGTCAGAATAATCCTGTCGAAAATTTCAACTAGATGAATGGCATCAAAAGTGATTCACAGATGAAACACCTCAATACATAAAGAATACAATAATGTACTACGAAAATCCGAGAAAGCAAACAATGTTCTAGCCATCCTATGGCTGAAATGAGCACTCTCCCCTTTGTGCCCAATACAGAAAAGCACTGGCACGCTGAGGAACATCTGGACAGATCAGCTTGGAATACTTGCCACTCTTGAGATTTATTATTGACGAACTTCCCTACAGCTTTTTTACTTTTGTAATTTTTCAGGCTAGAAACATGTTTTTTCAGAAGTAAATTTTGCCAGCAATTAAGACCATCTTGAATGAAGTCCTTGAACAGAACATAATTACACATTACTATATATGGGGGTGTCTCAGAATACAGTCTTGACATTCTCTGGTTAAAAACTTCATGCACTTTGTGGCTTATACTAATTTGCCTAGATCTTGTAGCTATTTGAGGATCATTTCTTTAGTTTATCACTGCACATTACTTTCCCAGAAGTAAGAGTTCATCCACTGTATCAACCCATATCTTATTGTGCCTTCAAGAGTATATCTATTTTTTTTCCTCTCTCAGCCATTTTCATTCTATATTCTAACACTTTTCCTTAACTTTTTATTATCTAAGCCACAAGCAGCTGACCTCAGGTTTAGAGGACATTTATCGACCAGGAAGTGCTAACTATTAAGCTTTCCTGTGGCAAAGATGAGTAAGGAATAGGCTAGAAGCATCTCCCTTTTCTTGAGCTTTTCTATACTGATACAGCTCACGACATGAGGAAGGTCACAGATAACTGTAACTGCCTGATGGACAGCATGCAACTTCCACAGAAGATCTCCATTTCCAGAGGGGCTTTAGTGCTTGGATATTAATGGTCGCATTAGAATTGAAAATGAAGTGCCACCAATCACACAAGCAATGGTTTAGTTCTGCTTCAAGTGCTGCAGTCATATAACCAGGAGTAAAAATTGGCTGGGTCGTCCTTTAGATGAACTAGAAAACTGTAGCCTGCTGGGCTGCAGCTAAAAAGAAACCCCAGAGCAAAACGAGATCACTACACATTTTAGCAGAACCTCTTCAAACCTCCAATCCCTTTGGCACTTACCCCTCCAGCCCTAATGAGTTTGCGTCTGAATTCCTTGGTGGGGTTGTTGAAAGTCAGTTTCTCACAACGAAGGTGGTTCACAGGTGGGTTTCCCTCCAAATTTAAGAACAGGTCGTATGTGAAACAAACCTTTTTTGGCTCCTCCTAAAAACAAGAGAGACTTTGGGCAAACGGAAGAGGTTTGGCAAGCACTCTAAGTCAGAGGATTCAAACAGTCACTCCTGAAAATCCCAAATAAACCACTGAGTAAGTGTTGCATTCACAGAGTTTTTCACCATGAGATCAGAGAGCTAGAAATTAAAATGTTTGTGCCTACTAAAGTGCCTGAAGTTAACACACCGTTCATCAGAAACTCAGGCATGGCTTTTCACTGCAAAAGCAACGTACAGATAAGGATACTGACTGATGGTTGTCTGTTTAAAGCCTTTCAAGTCTTCCTAGGAAAGCAGATTCACAAGCTTTATCCACTACTCTGTTTTCACTGAAATTCAGATCCTATCCCGCTTCAGGAAGCAATGGAACTATAAACATCAATATTAAGAAAAGCATAATCCTTTATTTAGAGAAGGAACAACTTCTGAACTCACAAGATCTCTGCGGGTACCGAGAAAAGATTAAACGCAATGGTAAAAGGATGACTTGTTCTGTAAAATCCTTTTCAATATGCATATTGCAGAGGCTGAATGGGAAGATATCCTAGGCTTTTGAACTTTCCAAGGGCACTTTCACTGAAGAAATCCGGGGTTTGTATGCATGTTGGGGATCATCTGCGCCTCACTGGTTTTGTTCCACCTGCTGCAGAAGCACAGCAAATGCTCTGCATTTGCAGTACAGAATGGAAGAAACCTCTTCCTTTTTTTCCTCCTGAAATTGCAAATATTGCATACTACTTGTGTGTTACAAATATCGATATGACATTTCCTGGTATTATCTTGTATTCTGCATTTCAAGATGAAAACTCAAAATGTGGCAAAAGGGACTCTCCTGCAGACCACACAGAGCCTTACAGTACATTCAGTATTTACATGAATGCATCCCACATGCCTCATTCAATGCACAACATCAAGCGGCTGCACAGCAGTCTTTTCCACAATTCATATCCAGCAGCTTGATTTCCTGGTGTAGTTGCATTGTTGTATGGGAACAGACGCCGCAGGCTTCTAGCCCAAGCCATTAGATTTGCTGAAAATAGGTTGAAGCGTCAAACAGCTTCAGACCACACTGATTCCTGC